GAGAGAGAGAGCGACAGAGAGAGAGAGAGAGAGACATTATTATTATTATTATTATTATTATTATTATTGTTGTTGTTGTTGTTATTATTAGTAGTAGTAGTAATGGTTGGAAGTGACATTTACTCAAGTATTGTAAAATAAACATTTTTGGTTTTTTATGCACTTTACTTGAGTATTTAAATTTCATTCCACTTTATACTGATATTCTACCTCATTTTAAGGTGAATATTGTACTGTTTACTCCAGTAATGCATTTTTTAAAGCTCCAGTATGTAACAGTTAGGAGGATCTATTGGGAGAAATAGAATATTCATCGATATGTTTACATTAGTGTATAATCACCTAGTTGTTGTGTTTACGTTACCATAGAATGAGACGTTTTTATCTACAGAGGCCGCAGGTCGCCTTCCATGGTGTCCGCCATGTTGAATCGCCATATTCCTACAGTGGCCCAGAACGGACAAACCAAACACTGGCTGTAGATTGGTTCTTTTGTGTTTTTTTCCAAGTTTCACACCAACGTAGTTTCTCCTACACACTTACTACACCGCTCTCATTCCCAGGTCGTCAAATACAGACACGAGTGGCGTTCAGTTAGCTGTAATCTGCAACTTCACCGCTAGATGCCACTGATACTCCCCCGTCCTGTAACAGCTATATTTACGAGTTAATTTTTTACAATAAAATTTAACATCCACAAGACATCCGTTTTGTTATAGATCAGACAAAATTAAACTTAATTAACGTCGACCATCTACAACAATACAGTAGCGTTCATATGCATTAATTATAATGATCAGATAATATAACACTGACAGTGGCCATTATGCATAAAGAAAACTTTTACTTTTCATAGTTTGGGTAAAATTATAGTTATAGTACTGTATTTTTGTGTTTGTTATTATTACGTAATTATACACGTATTATTATTATTATCATTAATACTAATATTATTATTATCATATTAAATAATATTGGTCGTTTGTGTGAATTGTGTGACCTATCTATGTATCGACCAGCTTTTACTCTGAAAAAGTCGGAGTTTCCTTCCTGTTTTTGCGTGCCGCAGCCAGCCAGCGGTGTTCCGCCGTTCGCAGTCAGTGTCAGCCGACGGCTGTCTCGGAGAGGACGGGTCATGATGGTCCCGGCCGCGGTGCTGCTGCTCGGACTCGCGGTGTGCCGGGCAGAGTTCGCTCCCCCCACAGTGAATATCAGCCTGGATGAAGATCCACAAGTGCGGTGGGCTCCTCTACTGAAAGTGTTTGATGTAGACTTCCTGAACAAAGCCGCCGCAGAGGTCATTGAGTAAGTTTTCCAGACTTCCAGTCTTTTTCCAAAACAGTATGATAACAATGAATTATTCATGTTTTACAGCTTTATGTTGGAGAAGTTAGTCATTTGGTATATGAGTAGTGGAGTCAACACATGTTTAATAGTTGAGTGATTCATTATAGGCTACTGAAAATCAGATTGTGAGGATCGAAACATAAACATTCTTTGGTAACAAACAGCCCGCAGGTCGCACTGTGTCAGTTTCTATTAGGCTGCATTATCAGGGTGAACTAATCAGCAGGGACATAACCACAAATGTGATAACTGAAAGCTTACAGCTTACATAATGTTAACTTAATCAGCAGGTAAACTAACTTCTGGGTTAATGAGCACTGTGTTATTGTGTCTGTCTTCCAGTAGTAGTGCTGACAGCGATTACAGTGATTCACATGTTTCCTTACTGTGTTTGTTTTTTGTCAGCACCACAATTCCAAAATGGGTGCATCAAGCAATTACACCTATTGTGATGGCCTTGGAAAAGTATGTTCCTCAGCCCTACGCTGGGGAGATCCGTGGCATGGCCTCACACTTGGGAGGAAGACTTTCAGATGTCATCCTTCTCAACTTTGCCTATGAAGTATCTGCGTACGTATGGTTTTAAACAAGTACACATTTATAGTACAAACGTGTGCACCATACAGAGGCACAGACTGACTAACAAGTGTGCACGATTAAGGTGAAAGCCATCTCATGCATGCAAACAAACTTTATGCATTCCTAGATTTTGCACTAGCATCGTAGCTCAGGACAAAAATGGGAACGTGTACCACGGCAGGAACCTTGATTATCCACATTCTGTTCTGAGGAATCTGACTGTCAACATAGTTTTCCTCAAGAACGGAAAGGTACAGTATGTATTCATTGCATATAAAAACCAAATAAGGTACCTCTTCAAATTTAAAAACACAAGAAATATCTGATAATCATTTATCGGGAATAGCCATTCAGTCAGTGGATTTTAACAAGTCCTTGCATAATGATAATGTGGCCAAGGATACAAAACTGTTGTTGTTTGTTGACACAACCATTCAGGTGGCGTACCGTGGAACTTCATTTGCTGGCTACGTTGGCCTGTGGACAGGACAGAGTCCTAACAAGTTTACTGTCTCTGGCGATCAGCGAGGTAAGACCACACTTCCTCTCAGAAGCTATGTTTGCCCATAAATGTTACAATAGTCAGATTTTATTGCTTCTTGTTTATTTATTTGTTTGTGATCATCAGGCAGTGAACACTGGTGGAACTGGTGGAAGAATGTGGTGTCTGCTTTCCTCTATCGGAGGTCTCCGGTGAGCTGGCTGGTCAGAGAGGTGAGAAAAGATAAGTTAGTAAAAAGAGGATGTTTACTGTATGAGGAAATGAAACTTTGACTAATAACTAATGCAGACGCTAGAGGAAGCGGAGAACTTTCAAGATGCAGTGATGCGCCTTTCCAAAATCCCCATCATCACTGGAGTGTATTATATTGTGGGAGGGGTGCGAGCAGGAGAAGGGGTGGTCATCAGCAGAGACCGGACGGGCCCCGTTGATATCTGGCCACTGGATCCCGTGAATGGAGGGTAGGCAAAATGAAGGATCAGTGAAGAAACTGTGTATCAAGGTGTGTGTTGCACAACTGAAGCCAAACACAAAACTGTGTGTTCCTGTTTTAGATGGTACAGGGTGGAGACGAACTATGACCACTGGCTCCCTCCCCCAGCCAGGGATCATCGAAAGTGAGTCATCCCACATGATGAACACTTCCACAATTTTGTTGTTATTATGTTACTGTTGTATATTATTATTATTATCATTAATATTACGCTGTTATTATGTGTTCATTTTGTAGAGAAGCAGCCGCCAAAGCACTAAATGCTACTGGCCAAGATCACATCAACATGGAGACACTTTATCAGGCAAGTGTGGATCAATAAATCAATATATCAGGGATCCAAAGTATGCCTGATACTGAGAGACATTGTTTACTGCACATTTTGAAAGTCAGAGACAATGCATGGATTTGTAACAGAGTCTTTGCATTCTAGGTTTTGTCGCTGTATCCAGTGTGTAATGGGTAAGGAGAACGTTATTCGTTCATTATTCTCTCATTTTTGTTTCAAGGAATCACATGACTGTCCATGTTGCTGAGATGGGGCAGCTGTGTGCATACCAATTTCCGTTCCTTTTACCCCATCTCAGCAATAATGTCAATAGGGCTTTGTTTGACAAAGTGTGTGTGTGTCAGCACATAGCATAGTAGCATATAGAACAGCCAAAGCTGATTTACAGTCCTACCGGCTGATTATTTACACTACTATCTTTAAGGAAACTTTACATAGCTTGTTTTAATAAAGTTGTTGTTTTGCTTGAGATTTGATAGTATCTATTGTCTACTTTATAATCCCCCAGAATTACTGTTTACACGACAACAATGAGTGCAGCTACCCCTGAGAAGTACAATACACTTGTCAGGCCACAGGTAATTACACCTCAAATACATATATCTGTTTGTACTAGAAAAATAAACATGAAGTGATGATATGTCCCTGAAAATCTGATACCATCACTTCCTCCTACTTTTCTTATCTCTTTCAAGGGCTGCCAACCGAACTGACCGGCATTGAGCAGTCAACAAGTGTCCCTGTGTGTCTGAGTATGTGGCGATTGTAGAATCAGTGAGTACGGAAGGGAATTGGAATCCAGCATTTTGAGGGTGACAGTGCTGCCTCTAATGAAAGAAAATTTGTTGTGATCATTTTTGTCACCTCATGTACCTGCAATATGAATGTCAAGCTTAATAAAAATTTGGTTATGAGTAATCGTCTTGAGTGAGCTGGAAAAAGGTTAAGTGACATTGTGGAGTATGGAAATGACACTGATAAAATAATGCAGAATGGGGTAAACTGAGTCTGTGAATAACCTGTTTTATCCCTGTAATCCAACCAGTTTGACAAAAACAGGCTTGGCATACGATAAGACACGTGACAGTGACAAGAAGGAAGCAATGGATGACAAGGAACATTTAATAGGAATTTTCAAGTATTTTGACGTAGTGTGCTTCCGTAAGATTCAAGGGTTTTGTACAGCTAAAAGCAAAAACATTCTATTAGTTTTCATTTAAATGTTTTTTCCTTTGCCAACTATATGATTTAGCTTTTGTTTCAATACAATTTATTAATTTATTATCTAGAAGAGACTATTATTTTAAAGTTTCATCCAGAAATGACACACCTGCTAATCACGTGATACCATCTAGCTGAGCAGACGTGAGCAGATGAGCTTCTTTCATCTGGTTGTCATTTGACAGTGCTAAGGACTTTTGTTTGTGGCAACTAATAACAGCTTTTTTTGAGAGATGGACCTCTGACCAAGAAGTATACTGTTTGTATAGTATACCATGGTATATGTATGTACATTTGCTTATCCATGGTATTGAATTATACCATATTATAGTGCTGTGTATTGGCAAGAATCTGGTGATGGTGGTACGTATCACGATACAGAGGCTACAGTTCAATATATTGTGATATATTGCAATTTTAGTTAATCAAGTCTTTGGGAAAACTCATAGGATACCACCATATGCATAAAATCTTGCATAAAAAGTTATACTTTTACAGCACTAGCTGGGGGTTTAAACACAAACATTTATAGTGTTTTTGAGAATTGATACAATATCACAAGACAAAATACATACATTTTTTTGTTACACCCCTGCAGAATTGGTATTATTTAACAATATTTAATTATATGTGTTTAAGTATTATTTAAAAAATCTAGGACATTTATACTGAGTGAAATTATATTAAACTGTAAAATAATAACAACAATAATAATAATAATAATTGTGTGATACCTTGAAACTTCTGTATTTCTGAGACAGTTATAGTATAGTGAAAATCTTTGTGTTGCAACCCTAGAAGAAGTAGCTAGCAACACCAGTCCACAGCAACAGTCCTCAAGAGATTCAGAACCAGAGACCTCTGCTAGCATGCTTAGAGAGATTAAACAGGGCAACAAAACTCTCACAATAAATCAACTCGTAAGATTTCTGCAACCCAAAGTTTCTTGGTTTATTGCAGACTACCCTTGCTGGGCTGCCAATGAGGGTAGTGAGCAGTGTATTATCACTGGGCCTGTGGATCAGCTGGAAACAACGTTTGTCAGCTAGGATTTAGGGCATCGATGCAAAGAATGGCACCCAGGAGGCATCTTAATCACTCGGCTGCAATCTACCCCAGTGCATGCTGGGTGTCATGGTCTGGTGAAACCAATAGAACCACATCATCTGCAAAAAGTGGAGATGCAATACTGAAGTCTCCAAACCAGACACTCTCCTCACTTTTTATCTAAACCCTATCTAAACACATAAACCTTTGTTTGTCAAGTACGTCTTAAAAAATACTCACATTCTCAATGACAAAATCCAGTCTCACCTCTGAGCAAATAAGACCTTCAAACTTCAGCAGTCTTCATGAAAAACATACAGTACATGCAGTATTGTACATATAGTTACATATTCATGTAGTACTTCTTTTGCATTTTTAGATTTGATTTTTGATTGTATTTTATTCGATATAATGCACTTTAATTTAGACAAATTTTATTTATCATTGTGCTGGAATGTTTGGATTGTTTTTTCGTATTTCTCCCAAGCGTTTGTTACTTCGTTTTTAATGGTGCTGTGTAATAGGCAGTTTATAATGATTATATAGTTATTCATTTAAAACGTGTTGTTGCTGTTAATACAGTTACAATACATATTTTCTTGCCCAGTAGTAGCGTGTATTTTCCCATTTGAAAACATAAAACAGTCAATATTTACAAGAAGGCGAGATACTCCAGGGTCTAGCCAACTGAAGAAAGATAGATA